TTATATTCATATGCAAAACAACTGTCTAGCTCCAGAAAGAGAACAATTCTAGCTCTTGAGTATGTATGTTCTCTTGGTCAGTTACCCCCTCCCTACCCCCTCCAAAAAAACCTGTTCCAACCAGTGTTGTTTGTGTCTGACTTTTTTTACTGAGTTAGGTCTGAGGTTGATCTGTGTTGCTGCTCATATCACTGCGTACTATGTTGTCATCCATTGATTAAAAAAAAAACATGTATTTAATTTTTTTCCCCATGCTGCTGTTAATGGAAGTGTGGTTTCCTATTTTTTTGTTTAATTACCAGGTTTAAGTTTATAAAAGGTTTTTTTTTTCCACATAGTTACTCACATTTCTACTACATGATTAAATGTTTGTTTTACTTGGAAGCTAGGATAATATAGGAGTTCTAGATTTCATTGGTATAAACCAAATACATTGAAAATCCTTCAAAACTATGCTTTACTCTTTTTTTAATCTTTAGTGGTGACTGGGTGCTGAGAAGCCTTTTTTCTTCTTTTTTTTTCTGGGGCAGGAGGATCATGAGTTCAAGGCCAGCATGGACTATGTTGTGAAAACCTGTCTCAAAAAACCAAGGGCAGGCCTGGTGCCTGTGGGGCATGCCTATAATCCTAGCTACTCAGGAGACAGAGACAAGGAGGATAAGGTTCAAGGCAAGCCCTGACAAATAGTTCGCAAGACCCTATCTCAAAAATACCCAATAGAAAAAAGGACTTGCATGTGGCTCAAGTGGTAGAGCATGAGACCGAGTTCAAAACCCTGTGCTGCCAAAATAAAAGGACAGAGATATAGCGTGTGCAAAGCCCAGGATTCAATCCCTCAACATAATTAATTAATTAATTAGAAGCTGTCCAGCTTTATATAAAGTAGCTCTCCAAGAGCTAATCTGGTATTACTGGGTAGTATTATTCTGAAATACCAAACTGTATTAGCTCTCTCTGAGGGCATTTCTGATTTTGTGAGTTGCACATCTGTAAATACTGATGTTTCAGTGGATACCAAATCCCTATAATAGTGCATTTATTCTCCTATTGATTATATTTGTATCATTAGCAGAGGTGAATATTTTTAGTAGTTTCTGGATTTTACTCTTTGAATGTAGAAAAATTTTCTCCAAGCTCTGGTGGCTCATGCCTGTATTTGTAGCTACTTGGAAGGATCGAGGTTCAAGTCCAGCCTGAGCAAATAGTTCGAGAAATCTCATTTCCAAAATAACCAGAGCAAAATGGACTGGAGGTGTTGCTCAAGTAGTAGAGTACCTGCTTTGCAAGCGTGAAGTCTTGAGTTCAAACACTAGTCTCATCAGAAGACAAAAAAATATCCAAAATTCTTTTCCTTCCTTTAATAAATATTTCTTTAAAAGGAGGATTCTATAAAGTCTTTTTTTTTTTAAATTTGGACAGTACTGGGTTTTGAACTCAGGGCCTCACTCTTCCTTGGCAGACAGTCTAACACTTGAGCCATTCTTCCAGTCATTGTTTTGTGTTTAGTATTTTCGAGATAGGATCTTGTGAACTATTTGCCTGGGCTGATTTTGAACTGAGATCCTCTTATCTGCCTCCTGAGTAGTTAGGATTACAGGCGTGAGGTACTGGTGTCCTTTAAATAAGTTTAAAGTCTTATTTTAATTCGCTATGTGTATACACTGTTAATGCTCCTGAGCATGCATGCTTTCATTAAGTTCTAGTGATTTTAAGTAGAAAACAGAATGAAGTGCTCCTTTTAGAGCCTCAAAAACCTTCACTATTGGGCTGGTGGAGTGATTCAAGTGGTGGAGAACACCTTCTTAGCAAATATAAGGCCCTGAGTTAAAATCCCAGTACTGCCCCCCACCCCAAAAAAAGACTCCTCAGTATGAGAATCAACTTCCTTTATACTACATAGTTATATTAACACTAGCAAAATATTGTGATCCTTGATGTAATATGTCTTGCTATGATTCTGACCTCCCTGTATTGGGATTTATAATTATATAGAAAATAAAATTTCTAGATTTAAATACCTGTCATCCACCATCCTGTTCATAATCCAAATATACCATCTTAAGAAATATGGAATAGTAAAATAACTCTTTAGTTCTAGGAATAAAAGAGTGGCAGCTGTGTTTTATTCATTTTAATCCATAAAAACAAATGCATAAAAACTAAGATTATAGTTTCCCATTTATTTGAAAACAAACTTATTTTTCACTGGAAAATTCCAGCAGTCCCATTTTGTCTGTACAGTGCACACTTTATTTTTCTGGGCCTTTAGTGTACTCAAGAAACTATAAAATAGTGCATCATTCGAAGTATAAGTGTGTTGAGCATGAGTTGTTCCAAAAATCAACAGTTGACAAATACAGTAATTTGTTTTGTACTAAGTGAAGAGGAAGAAAGCAATTGTTTTACAGTATTGATTTTTTCAAGAGATTTCGGAGAGAAAACATCTTCCATTTTCAGGATTTTCTTGGTTGGGTTTTTTGGTTTTTTTTTTTTTTTGGCGGGGGGAGGGGGTAGTTTTATTTTTGTGGCACTGGGGATGGAACCCAGGGCCTCACACACATGCTAGGCAAGCACTATACTACTGAGCTACACCCCCAGCCTGTTTTTTAGTTTTTGTTTTACATGGAAAACATCATAACAAAGTCTTGATTTTGGTTCCTAAAACGTTAGGACTATTAAAAAAATGCATTTGTGTGGATGGAGATATGGCTCAAGCAGTAGAGCACCTGTCTAGCCAGGTCGAAGTCTGGAGTACAAACCTCATTACCACAAAAAGAAAAAAAGAAAGAAAATACCTGATATTTCTAATGATAGTGAGTAAGACCTTAGATACCTAAAAGGGGAATAAAGAGGTGGAACAACTGATAGAATTACTGAGAAGCACTCTCGTTCTCAGCAAGCCATGCTTCAGCATGTCCATGGGGTCTGTGGAGGTGTTCAGTTGGAGAGCTGGCACCCAACTAAAGAGAGATTCCTGAAATTTGCATGATTTAACATTATCCTTAGACATTTAATACCTCTGGCACAAAGGTGTGTGTTAATGCTGTACAGACACCATCTTTTATTCCTCAAGTTTAACCTAGATTTTGAGCCATGAACTTTCACTATTTAATACTGGCTAATAAGTCTAAGACTGGGGATGTAGCTCAGTGGTAGAGCACTTACCCAGTTTGTGCAAGGCCCCGATTTTGATCCCCAGCACAACCAAAACAAAAGCAAAACAAAACCCCAAATAATCAGTTTAATGTCTCAATCTATGGGGCCTTGATTGGTTTTGTCTATAATTTTTCACATATATGTAGGGCTGCCATATCCAATTGTATAGACTCTTTCAAACACAGTTCCAGGGAGAACTATTCATATAAACTAGTGTCTTTGATTTTCCCCCTGGAGTTGTGCAGTAAGACAGCCTTATACCTACCTTCACTTTCTGGTTGGTTTAATTGGCATTATTGTTTAGATTGCCTTCAATCAACTGAACACATTTAAGAGTCTCAGGTAACCTCCAGAAGAATTCCTCTTAAGCTTCTGTACCATGAATTGTGTGTTGTCTTGATTAATCTGGACATACAGAAAAGGGGCATACATACTGATCAAAAATCAAAATATGAAAAAAATACAATTTAAGACTTTAAAATGCCATCAACTTGGAAACAGCTTTTTTTGTTTGTTTGTTTTTTTAACATGTTTGATCTCTGCTTCTTACAATTCAGACCTGTTCTGACATTAGCTCTGGGTAGGCCCAGAGTTAGCATTAAACTCTATTGGTGTATGGGCTCAGGTCCACAAGACTGCCCTCATTTGAGATGCCAGTTATATGTCCAGGGCCCCAGGCTACCTGTACTTCTGTGATTTCCTACAGTTTTTGGAGGTTCCCGAGACTTTCAACTCAGGGATAGTCAGATGAAGATGTGTGTAGGGCAAGGTAAAAAGGAACAGCTTAGAGCCTCCAAACTGTCTCCAGTGTGACACTCTCTTGGCACCTTGATAATAACCTGGGAGCTCCCTAGACCCCATTGTTAAGAGAGTTAAAGATATCATTACATAAGCATAATTGATTAACACATTGGCCATTGTTGATGAAATTGAATTTCCAGTCCTTCTCTACTCTCAGAGGTCAAGGGATGGACTTGACAGCTCCATCTTTTTAATCAAGGTGTGGTCTTACTGATGACCCGAGCCCCATTCTAAAGCTATCTGAGAGCCCTTCCAGAAGTTACCTTATTAGTATAAACTAAAGTATAGTTGATTGGGGACTTATTATAAGGGAACTCCTGTCGCTGAGGAAAAGACAAAGGATTTTAGGAGCTTTGTTCTAGGAATGAGGCACAAAGACTATATATATATCATACCAAATTTGGATAGTACTAAATAGTTTATAATGATGTAAAAAAAAATTGAAAAAGTTCAACAAGAGGATTGACTAAACAAGAAATAATACCAACTATCCATTAAAATTGTGTATATATACAGACATGGAAAGGAGTTTTTGTAACTGTTTTGAACTTGATTAGCAAATTGAACAATTTCCAAGTGCAAGTATTTAGAGACAAGAATATTAGAATGCTACCAATGCAATACAGGCAGTCTACAATTTATGAATAAGTTGGGTTCCAAAAGTCAGCTGTTTGAAATTCTGAATGCATTTTACCAAAGAAGCCATGTCTTAAACACTGTGAGCCCAAGTCAGCCTAGAACAGCTTTAATTTTATTTATAGAACTCTTGGAGTACAGGTAGTATCTATACTAAGTTTCTCTTTATTTTTTGGTTAGACAGCATTTTGAGTTCCAACTAGAGACCTTAATTTGGAAAGGGAAAAGGCTTACAGATCTTTTCTTTTACTGCTTTTTTCCTCTTAGTCATGGGTTTGGTGACAGTCTTGATGACATCAACAGATGTGGCTTATCCTTATAATCAGGGTTTAAAAGCATATTGCCTATTCTGGTAAGATGTTCCCTTTGATCAATCACCTTTTGGTTAACATTCCTTACCATTTTAGGTTGAATTCTCTTACCCGCCGCTGATTCCAGGAGATGGACATGACAGCCACACTTTACCTGAAGAATGGAAGTATTTGCCCTTCCTTGCCTTACCAGATGGTGCACATAACTACCAGGAAGGTATGTGGCCAGATAGTGGAGCAATTAGTAGGTGCCATTTTGAAATAAATTTTGCCAAGACATCTTAAAGATTCTAAATACTTTGGTAAATGAAAGTCTTTCATTCTATTGTGATTATTTATAAGTAACAAATAGCATATTTATATGCTGTTTGGACATAAGAACAATACATGAACTAGAGAACCTGCACAGAATGCCAGGTTTACATTGGCTGAGGTTGGTGATCCTTGGCCACTCTTCTGCCAGGAGCCCTGGCTAAATAATTGATAAGCGCAGGGCATCTACCTCTGGGAGCACACTGTACAGTTGTACTTGAGATTGCTCTCTCAGGAGTTACATACACCAGCTGTACATTGCCTGAGGCTCTAGCTGCAGACTTAGTAGGTTAGTGCTCCATTGCCCATCTGTAACAGCTGAGATTGTTTCTCCTCTTCTGCGAGGTTGCTTGATCCATGAGGAGCATGTTCATCCCTCAAAGGAGTGCTGTGAAATTCTTACTGAGTCTTCTACCACCCTACAAATGAATGCTTTGCCAGACTTTATGAAGGACTATATTTTGCCACGGTATTAGAGGTGCTACGAAGATAATTGATTAAAGTTGGTTTCATTACCTGTTTTCTTAATACAGTATTTAATCTCTTTATGACATGAATCAAATTTTAACTTGTAACTTAAATGTAGGATTTGTAACCTCAGAATCTTTTCTTTTCTAGGCTTTTCTTACAGAAAAATTCAAACATATGGAATAGTTGAATTAAGATTATAGCAAATATCTATAGTTTATTTATATTTATGTATAAGGCCAGGCTGTTTATTTTGGTGGAAGTGAGGCTTGAAATCAGGACTTTACTTACTAGGCAGGCACTGTACCACTTGAACCACATCCCTAGTCCTCTCGTACAAATCCCAGTTTTGGTTTTTTTGTGGCACTGGGTGGGGTTTGAACTCAGGGTCTCATACTTGCTAGGCCAGGGCTCTACCACTTGAGCCACCACCCCAGCCCAAATCCCAGTTTTGTCTGTACTGTTTTATAGTCATTTAGAAACAGTGATAGGCACTGACCTCTAAATACTTAAGCATGCATCTCTTAAGAGTGAGATGATTTCCAGCATAACTTCCAATACCATTATCACACCTAACCCTCAATTTTCCCCAAACGTTCTGGGATCCCCTCAAGATTCACATTTTGCCATTGGCTTTTTTTTTGTTTTTTAAATCTGAAGCAGTCATTGTATATGAAACATTTTTTGTAATTGTACTCTCAGTTTGATCCATTATAATTTTAGCCTCTTGAATTTTTTTGTGATGACTATAAGGCATTGAGAGAAATTCTAAGAAACCTGTGGTTGTGATATTGGAAATAAGTATGATGTGGATTCCTTGATGTATCACCATTTTTGTGTTAATGACTGCATTATACAAATATCTGTTTTAATAAGGATAATGCACCTCTGTATTTACACATTTCTATGTATTTCTTACAGATACTGTGTTTTTTCACTTGCCACCCAGAAATGGAAATGGAGCCACAGTGTACGGTATTTCTTGCTACCGACAGATTGAAGCCAAGGTATGGTAGTTATTGGTAAAGCAACAACAGAAAAAAGCTCAAATCCTTTCTTAGGTGTTGGTCACTTGGGGAAACAACATAGTCTTTATTGTTTATGTGTTACTTGTTTTTATATTTTTAAAAGCAATTTGTAACTATTCCAGTAGTACCAATTTATTTCGTACCAATGTTTCTATAAGTTGAAATTTGTGGCTGTGATTATATAATTGTACATACTTTTGGATAGCATATCCAAATTATAGATTTATCTTTAAAGTCCTGCATTTAAGTTTAATAGTGTCTTTGGATTTTCTATTTCTAGTGTTTGGTACTTGTGTCAGTTTTCTATACTGTAGCAAAATACCTGATCTAGTTAACTTCTAAAGAGGAAGGAAGCCATTGGTTCAGTGGTTTCAGAGGTATCAGTCCATGGTCACTTGGTACTGTTGCCTTTGTCCCTGTGGTGAGTCAGAGAACATCATGGCAGGAATTCATAGTAAAGGAAGATACTCACCTCCTGGATTCCAGGAAACGAAGGGGGGGTGGGTTCAGTATCCCCTTTAAGGACATGTACTGAATGACCTAACTTCCTTTAACTAGGCCCTACCTCTTAAAAGTTCCACCTCCTCACAGCAGCACCACAGATAGGTGACCAGTCTTTTAACATCTGGGTCTTGGGGGACACTTATCCAAACTATGGCAGTACTATCAACAGGAAAATTCCATGAATTGATTAAATGTAATAGTTTATTTAATCAAAAAATAATAATAATAATAATCACAGATTGGACAGCTCAGAACCAGAGCAGATTCTGAGAACTTGTAGCCAACAGCATAAAACAGCATTTTTAGAAAAATGGAGTGAGGCAATGAAGTCAACTCAGCTGACCACAGCCTAATCAGGCAGTCAGCTGGTTGTAGCTTCAGTAGCTAATTGTCTGCAGGGCTTCCTGCAGCCAACCAGAGTTTAGTTGCGGTAATTAAACTCTGTTGGCTTGTTCTTTTGGGCCTTGTGCAGGAGCCCAGTCCAAACTGGTGGCCTCTCGTGATTTTATTTAACACCACTATATAATTTAGGAAGATGGTGTGGGAATGTGTGGGTTTACAAAAACAAAAAACAACAACAAAAAAAACACCTACCACCACCCCAGCATTTTAGAAATAGTACTATGTACTTACAGTGGCTCACAAGTAGTCTTAATTATTTATAACTAAGAATTTGGTTATTTTTAAGCGACTTGCCAGCTTAATTAATGCCTGATTTACTATAATATCTCTAGTTAATGAATTCCAGTGAACTAAGGCGGGAGTCCCCACTTTTCATCCCTAGCTGTTGGGCTGCACTGTTTTTTTGTGGGAAAATAATCTTTATGAGTAGATCATGAGGTCACAGATGCTGTAAAATAGTGAGTAGTTGCCAGCCTCTGCTGCAAATTGGAGTCACCTGGAAAGCTTGCTTTCCAGAGATGCTGATTGAATGTTCTGGGCATCAGGAGATTTAAAAGCTTCCAGGTAATACATGGTTAAGATTGAGAACCACTGCTCTAAACAGTGGTTTTAAACCACATTACCTGGAGTTTTTTGGGTTTGGTTTGTTGTGTTTTTAAATAAATATATTTGCCTATCCTTTCCTCCTGCTGACTGAATTAGAATCTCTGGAACTAGAGCTTAGATAGTCAAAAGGTTTAACACTCCTCTCAGGTGAATAATTAACTTTGTAAATCTTTCAGAATTTCTTTTTATAGTGACAGTTTCAAAGATGCAGATAAATTAATAGTACAGTGAACCCCTGTGCACCCACCACCTAAATGCCACAATTCTTAGTGTTTTACCATGTTTGCTCTGTGCATGTGAGTTTTTTCTCTGAGTCATTTGAAAGTAAATTATAGATGCAACTTCCAGGATACCCAAAGTAGTTAATTACCCTGAAATAACCCTCTAAGTACAGGGCCTGGAACATAGGACACACCCAGTGAGTGATTGTGGGATGAATAACTGAATTACTTTATCACGTATACCTTTAATATATATGATTTTTATTTGTCAGCTATACTTGAATAAAACTGGGAAAATAAAATTTTAGATTTAAAAATAAACATGAGAATAAGGGTTAGCCTGGCAGCTTTGTGCATTCGTTTTCTTCATATCCTGTTATCCTTTTGTACTTACATATACATGAACTGAAGCACTGCCTTTTCTCAGACAATCAGTTCCTTTACTTCCTTTCATCCTTCTATGTCATATAAGCCCTAGTAAAATGTTTTCTTCCAAGTCATCTTACCTCTCATAGTTGTCATTAATAACACTTTTCATGCTCTGCATAACGTTTAAATACTCCATTTGTCCCTTAACGCTAAGTATGACCGAATTCAGAATATATTAAGAGTTGTCCATTTCTCCAAATTTTTTAGCCTCATCTGAGAAACCAGATAGATAAGGCAGATGTTAAAGGTTCTAGAGAATAGATGAAAGACTTTAGGTCCCTTTGAATGAAGGTAGGAGAAATGGATGAGCCCAGTCAAGAGGAAAAATCTCTACTCTTGACTCAATTTAATGACAACCCATCTGTCCTCTAAACAGATCCAAGGAGATGTCAGGTAGTACACTAGAGGCAGAAGAGTCATTCTTACTACCCTCACAGCTTTGATCAAGTGGACTTGTTTCTGTTAGCAGAGACCTACAGCAATCTTTCATAATCATCTTCACAATCACTGAGGAATGAGATATGTGTTCAGTGTTGGGCTCCAAATCTTCCAGTGTGCACTACAGGCATCGTAAAACAACTAATTTAGCAAAAGTGCTGAGTTCTTCAATCTCTGGGGACAAGCTTTGTCATCTCTTAAACTCACCCCTCTAACTAGAAATATGTTTTTCTGGTGAGAATCCAACTTTAGCTATCTCTGAAAGAGCTGTCCCATTTTGAAATCAAAATCAGCAGTGGTTGGTTTGCATTGAATGGTTGACTTGAGTGTAGTGACTTGAAAATGAAGTAATCTCCATCAGTCTATTAATTCCTTGAGAGTTGGGATTGTCCTTTCACTATACAGTTCCAGTGTATACCACAACTTCTTGCACATAGTTTTCAGGCTAATTTATCCAATAAGTATTTTGAGATTCTTAATAAATTCTTGGGGCAGTTATGAATGAAGTACTTCATATGCGTGTATGAAAATAGAATAAGAAACCCATTTTAGGGTTTCTAGTTTAAAGGGAGAGGACAAGAAAAAAAGTTTCTGAATTTAACTGAATATAAGAAATTTCCTCTATTTAATTACTATTTTCATACTGAAAATAAGTTTCTAAATAGTGGTATGGAATATTTCTAATAATGACTGTTTTAATAGGCATTGAAAGTAAGGCAAGCCGATGTCACCAGAGAGACCGTTCAGAAAAGTGTCTGTGTTCTAAGCAAGCTGGTAAGAGACCTAGTAACTTGTTCACCTGTGTGTTAAACATTCATGGCAGATCTTTGAGAATAAGGCATTATTAGAGTAAGAGATTTATGAGAACAAGAATTTGTTGAAATTAGTAAGGGGTTTGCATTTCTTGTTTCTCTGACTTTTGGCAGTTTTACTCATTTGCAGACTAGGTAAGAGGGAGGAGATCTGATGGGTTGTTAGAAAGGAAGTTGACACTTGACTAAAATGAAGTAGCTGGTATATATTTCATTTATACATTTTTGTTTTCTTCCTAAGTGTTTGGATAAATATTTTAGTAAAATGTAAAATGTCATAATTACTTAGATTTTATTGTCAATAAGAGTTCATGAATATTGCAGTGAAAAAATTTTAGCCTTAACATGCTCTTTAAATTTTAAAATATTTGAGGAAAGGAAATGATGTAGTGAAATTGTAGTATAATAATACTTCAGGGCTGGTGGAGTGGCTCAAGTGGTAGAGCACCTGCCTAGCAAGCATGAGGCCCTGAGTTTTTGCCCAGTACTGAAAAAGCAAAAAAAAAAAAAAATTCAAAATTATGTTTCTTCTAGATACCAGTTGATTAGATGCAAATGTATAATGATTTTAATTTTTAAAAAAGAAAATACATAATATCTCATGGTTTTCATAGCTCTAAATTAAATCATTTCAATAGTTTATTACTAATGGAATAACACCTTTACTAATAACATCAAATGCCCAATTCTACATGCAAAATATAGTCACAAAAATCACCTTTGTGAAGAATAATTCAGTATATTAGGCACCTTCCCACCTGCAGCCTAGGATTGAGAACAGGTGACATCATGGCTTCCAGCTGTGACTAATAAGGGCTGTAAAGTTGACAGTTACTAACATCCCTGTTCAAATTAAAAAGTTGTATTGGGTTTGTTTGTTGGTGCTTACTGTTATCAACCTAATAGTGATTTCTCTTTTTCTTTAAGCCTCTCTATGGCTTACTTCAAGCAAAACTTCAGCTCATTACACATGCATATTTTGAAGAGAAGGATTTCTCCCAAATTTCCATTCTAAAGGTAATTTTATGTCCCTTTGTAGATGTAATCATTTGAAGGCAGATTCATGAATGAAGTAAATCTTGTCATTAGTACTCTGAAGGATAGTTATTTACTAGTTTAAGAAAGACATTCTTTGAAAATCCATTTGCATTAAAACATTGAAGGACCAGGGGTCTACCCAAGTACTTAATAAGTTTAACAATTTTTTTTTTTTTTTTTAGGAGATAGTGACTACAAATAACACAAATATTTTTCTTAATGAATAATAGCCTATTTGCTGTGGCATAGCCTTACAAATTCACTTATCTTATTAATAAACCATACACTATGTTTGTGGGTCAGGCTTCTGGCTCCTAGTGTCCAGAATTTTATTGGAGGTAAATGGCATGTTTTTCTCAAGGCTACCATGAAGGTACATACAGATAATGGATCTCTCCTGGATGCTGGTGAGAGTAGGACAGTTAGTAATTTAGTAGGGAAGTAGAGTGAGTTTATCTTAGGAGTTCATACCACCATAGGAATGAGTCAGCGGAGAGAAAGAACGAGAGAACCCTGAGTATGTTTTTACAATTTTTGCCCAACTCTCTTCTGTCATTGCTCTGTCTGAAAGGAATGAATGAGTGCTGAAAACTGGAAAGTGTCAGACCTTGATTGTTTCTAAATTCAGTGCCTGGTAAAATAAGCTGCCCAGCTTTTTTCTGATCATCATGTTTTTAATTCAGTGTGTGAAATGAGTTCTGAATTCCGTCTGTGTCTCACAGGAGCTTTATGAGCACATGAACAGTTCCTTGGGAGGAGCTTCATTAGAAGGATCCCAAGTATATCTTGGTAAGTAACTTTTTTTTTTTACAAGTCAGAAGCGATGCCCTTATTTCTTCCTTTTTGGCAAACTGAGTTGCATGTAAAATTTCATGATCAGCACTGTTTCTGAGCACACATATATTTAATTATTATAAATATTTACGTATTCTTGTATGTGATCTAAACTTTTCAAAGTGTCAATGCTCCTTCCTTAAATATCCTCTTAGCCAGTGTTTACATTGAGAAGGGTTATCATAGCACACTGGTAGTAATATTTGAAGCTATTATGTACAAGGTGTAAATTTCAGAGTATGAGGGTAAGTTTTCCTTTTCTTTACATTAATGCTAACCAGCTCAATTTCCTGTATAAGAGAGGGAAAAATAAATAAATAAATAAATAAATAAACCAACTGTCTAACAAGCAAGAGAGAGAGAGATGATCAGCTCTTTTCTAAGTTGTCCAGTTTGGGGATTTTGTTAAATTTATACTATGTTGACCACCCAGAATATCCATTGGTATCTGAGGTGCACAATGAATATCCTTTCATGATGAAAATAATGTAGATTTATGCTCCCTCAATTCCTGTTTCATCATGAAGTAGTTAAATTGAGGTAGCTTACTATTGAAATCCTGTGTGTGATATAAGCTAGATACAGAGCTGCTATTCTGAGGACTTATATCCTTTTAAACTATTTCTTCATGAACTGTGGTGTTGGAGAGAAGATGATTGGAGAAGACTTGATTCAGAAATAATGTATATGGAGTGCAGTGACCAAAAACTGTGTTTAATGACTGCTACTATAGCATAAAGTTTATAATTTTTAAATTACATAGTTTATGTTTATAGAAGGAAGGTATTAGACCTGTACTGTTGAAAACAGTAGGTACTATTTTGACTAGCAATGGATAGATACCTACATTTAGATTAAAATTAATAAAACTTAGAAGTCAGTTTATCAGTCGTACTTGCCAAATTTCTTATTTTTTGTTTCCTTTCATTGTTTCTACTCTTCCATCATTCTCCTTATCCCCCTCCCATTCTTAGAATAGTCAGTAGGTCTCATTTTCCATTTTTATATGTGAATACATAATGTTTTCTACCATGTTCACCCTCCTACACCCTTTACTTATGCCAAATTTCAAGGGCTCTGTAACCATATGTGTCTACTGTATCAGACAGGGCAGGTTTCAAACACTTCAATCTTTGCAGAAAGTTTCTGATTAAAGTGTATGTAACTATATATAACACAAATATTTGAGTATTTGCATATTCTCACTTTTTATTTTTAACCTTCCCTTCCTAACTTTCAGCAAAAACAGTGGACTCTAGTTACACATGAGATTTTTGTTAACATTGTAGGTCTGTCTCCTCGAGATCTTGTCCTTCATTTTCGACACAAGGTATGACACCTTATTTAAATTATGATATACTATGATGGGAGCCTTTGTTCTTACTGTGTTCTTTTTACTGGAATATTCAGTGTACATCAAATTTGTATTATGGTGTAACTATTTTTAGTTCTTTTAGAACCATGCTTGACCATGACCACAGTTGAGAGTGGCAGGAATATATCATAGAAATTTCTAAGAGAGTATAAATACATCTGTTTACTTTTTGCAGGGTGGGGTATTTTTTCCCGTATTGTCTTTGCAGTTTCAGCTATCATGTGATTAGAGTGGAAAGAAACATGTTTTGATGTTGCAGAATATTTTATATGTTGCCTTGAGAATAGAACATTCTCAGATAAAATATCTATCCTTCCTTCTGATCTTCATTGTTTTTTGCTTTGCTGGGGATTATGATTTTTATTATTAAAAAGCATATGTGTGAATATGTGGGATATTCACACATTGATCGTTCATTTATCAAACATTTATTGATCACCTCCCATGTGATGCCCTGGACATCCAGAAATAAATAAAAAAGTCCTGCCCTTTAAGGAGCTTGCAAGTATTTCAAGCAAAAAATGCCTCTACTCCTTCCAAAAAATGATAATTTGTCAGATATTTAATGATTTTCACATTTTTAAAACAAGGACACAGTTAATATTTAATTTCTTGGTATAAGTTCATAGTTTTCATATATATACATATATATATAAATATATGTATATATGTGTATAATTTTTTTTTGGCAGCACTGGGCCTTGAACTCAGGGCCTTACACTTGCTATGAAGGCGCTCTACCACTTGAGCCACTCTGCCAGCCCTAGTTTTCATACATTTTTAAAGTACTGTAATTACTTAATAGTATTAAGTGGTGTGTGATTATGTTTGAGGAAGGGAAACAGCAAATCCTTAGTCTTGAATTTCTCATTTTAATACATTTTTTTTTTCTTTCTGAAGGTCTTAATCCTGTTTAAATTAATTCTTCTTGAAAAAAAGGTGAGATACAAAGGGATGAAAGGAAGGATGGTTTACCTTTTATTGACATTTCTTACATATTATGTAAAATGGGAATTAATGATAAAATAGTAAGACATTTTGTGCCTGTTGACCTGTGGTAAGCTGAAGCACATACTCTTCTTTTTTTTTTTTTAATGCCATAGAAATATAAACTCGTATGTTCTTTATGCAGGCAGTTTGGCAGTATACTCAGTTATCTGCATAGTTTTCACCATAGGTAACAGAAGGCCCAGGTTTAAACTAACTTAAATAAAAAGGAAATGTGTTGGCTTATTTGGACTTCAGGGTTGGTTGACTCTGGTTCCAGAGTGTCATTAAGTACTCAGTTTTTCCAGGTCTTTACTTTATAGTCCACAGTGCTAGCTTTATTCAAGAGCCTGGGCTCCTTTGTAGTGTAGGAACCTGCTAGCAGTAGTTGGGCTATTTGCTTTCTCAGTCATAACTGGTGGCAGAGGTAATACTTCTTTCTAAACCATTTAATATCAGTTTTCCCTTCAGCTTGTTTGGGCCCATCAGGCCATGTGCCTACCCCTAATTCATAAATGTTGCCAAACACCTGCCTGCACTGATTGGATGAAACTTAAGTTCCACACCACTCTGTAGAACAAAGAGATGGGATTGCCATGATTGTTGTATACCTTGAGTCTGTAAACTAGGCCTCACAGTCAAATCTAGCCCACCATTGATTTTCATAGAGTTTTATTTCTGAAAACAGTCATACCCATTCTTACTCTTTATAGATGCTTTTACTCTGTAGTAGCAGAGTTGAGTAGTTCTGAGAGAGACCATATGGCTGCAAAGCAAAATATTATTTGACCTTTTATAGAAAAAAATTATTGACCTTTGGTTTAGACTAAAGAGTTACCATCCCTGATTTGGATCCAGTTTTGTTCCATATAGACTGTGTTCAGTGTAGTAGAGGTACAAAGGATAATGGGGAATTAACCATGTACAAGGTCTAACTACCCCTGTATGAGGTCTATATCCCACATATGAGGTCTACTAGGGTTCATTACCTGAAGCATTGTTTCCTTTGACCCAGTAATTCATTCCTTGGGAATATCCATTTCAGAATTTATCTGAATTGGACAGAAAGCTCTATCTAAAAGAATCTGTCACAGAATCATTTTTAGTAATGAACTATAAGTTAATAGCTAAGTGATGATTTATTTTTATGTTGTATATAAGTCCAAATAATAAAAAAGATACTAAGATACTTTTTATTGTTGTCAAGATGTTTCATGGCATGTTGAAAAGTATTTGTTAGTATCTAATGTGAATCAGGTTTCTAACTTAATTTTTTTTTAATTTTTATTATAAAATATGTCATATCTACTGAAAGTTGATAGAATAACATAAGGAATACCTAACACCTTTATATCCTTAATCTGTATTTAGTATTTATCTGCTCTGAACATTTTGTCACTTTTGTATTGTATTCTTTTACACATGTTCATTTTGTCCCCTGCAAAAAAAAAAAAATTAAGTGTATATTCTTACATAACCTAAATACCATTTTCACATTCAAGAAATTTAACATTGACACAATAAATGATGTCTTAATATTCAGCCCATTTTCAAATTTTCTCTGATGTTATTATAATGTCTGGTTTTATTTTAGATTTTTTTTTTCCAGTTTTTTTTTTTAAGAATAAAAGAGTTTTCCTGTGTAGGTCATGCTGGTCTTGAACTCATGATCCTTCTGTCTTAGCTTCCTGAATGGGAATACAAATGTGCTCCGCCATGCCCATCTAAAATGATGTTCTTGGATAGCTGATTTTTTTTTCTTTTTTAATTCCTCAAAGATTTAATTGGATTGGCCCTAAAATAATTTTTATGTTGAAGTATACCTTGTGGAGTAGAGAATTTCTTGTCACTGGACACGTTAGAATCCTCTTGAGGATGTTGTTAAGGGGATTCTTAATTTTGAATGGAGACTGGACATTGAGGACTGCTAAGGCTATGTAACTATTTGGCGTTCATGCTATAAGTTTGTTGTCTGTATGGCACTTTAAGTTTTGGTGTTTGTGGCAGGTGCTAAGTGGTGATTTGCTACTATTGCTTTACAAAATTTGTTAACTGTTACTCTTGTGCAGAGAATTCTCTCCTCCTTTTTCAGTACTGTTATGATCTCATGGATTTTCTAATTTCATTTCAATTGAATCCATTTCAGGTTCTTTTTTATATTTCTCCAGTGAATAAATTGGTGGGTGCACTGATGACTGTGTTATCCCTTTTTCCAGGTAAGAGGACAGCAGTATCCATCTATTCTTTTTTATGTTTAACTTCACTGGAACTTATACATTTAGTAATAATAGTGTACAACAATAAACCTGCTAGGGTTAGCATTTCTGTTTTAATAGGACGTTTTCTTTTGGCAATAGCTTTTTTTAAAATCTTTTTTTTTTCCCATTTTCTTTTTTTTAAATTGTATTAAAATGTGTGCAAGCCTAGCTTTGAAAAATTTTTCTAAGAAAGTTCCACCATACAAAACAGGATATACAACTCTTTTCTTTCATGTTACTGTAAACCAAACTGTTCTCAAACATTGTATTATTTTAGGGATGATCGAACATGGTCTCAGTGACTGTTCTCAGTACAGACCCCGAAAGAGTATGTCTGAAGATGCTGGGCTTCAGGAAAGTAATCCCCCTGCAGATGATTTCGTTTCTGGGTCTGCTTCTGACATTTCAAATGCCAACTTGGGACCTATCAAGACAATCATGGCAGAAAACCATGGAGGAGATGCTGCCATCAAGACCAAACAGCCATTGTTCCAAGTAGAAGATGACAGCAAGAAAGGACAGAAACCCAGTAGTACTAATCAATATTTGAAACCTCCATCTCATCCATCTCCAGAGTCTTCAGAAAGTGACTGGGAGACATTGGATCCTAGTATCTTAGAGGACCCCAACTTGAAAGAAAGGGAACAGTTGGGGTCTGATCAGACAAGCTTATTTCCAGAAGACTCTGTGCCCTCAGACAGTCCTCCAATTACTGTACAACCTCAAGCTAATACTGGGCAGGTGGTCCTGATACCAGGGCTCATTTCAGGTTTGGAAGAAGACCAGTATGGCATGCCCTTGGCCATCTTCACAAAGGTAAGGTATAATGTCCTTTATTTGAGAACATTACAATTGTAACTTTGTGTTGAAGATACCTTCAGGTCTGAAATTTTTCCTTAAAACTGTAAAATGTATACCAGATGTATAGTGCTGTGACATCTGTGACCTTAGTGTAAGGGTATAGGGAAGGAACTCAGTTTAGGTTAGAGTTTTGAAACTTAGTAGAGATGAGATCAGTAACCATTGTATTGAGTCTGCTTTTAAATACTCATTTTTCTCTTTGAAAAAAAGAATATATTAAGGAAGTCCAGACGGTGTTGACTGCACTTTGTGAATATATATTTAAAAGAACTACAATTGTAGTCTATAGTCCTAGCTACACAGGAGACTGAGGCAGGAGGATTGAGCCCATGTGTTCAAAGCCAGCCTGGGCAACATAGCAAGACTCCATTTCAGAGAGAGAGAGACAGACAGAGAGAAAGAGAGAGAAAAGCTACTATTCAAAGAAATACTTGGATATCTAACTTATATTAATAAGCATATATATATATATATATGTATTATTACATGTTCCTGTACTTTTTATATTAGTAAACTTCTTTTAGATGTAATTTAGTATTTTGATTAGTTGTATCCTGAAACTTTTGTTTTTTAATCATTTTTTAAAAGACCACTCAAGCCAGACATAATGGTGCATGTCTGTAATCCAAGCACTCATAAGATTGAGGCAGAAGAATCACAAGTTCTAGGCCAACCTGTGCCATCTAGCAAGACCCTATCTCAAAAAAAAAAAAAAACGCTGGCAGAGTGGCTCAAGTGGTAGAGCACCTGCCTAGCAAGCTTGAGGCCCTGAGTTCAAACCCAGTACTACCAAAAAATGACTTGGGTGCTGTGGGTCACATCTGTAATTTTAGCTACTTGAGAGGCTAAGATTGGGAGGATTGCGGTTCACGGCCATGACAAATAGTTCATGAGGCTCCATCTCCAAAATAACCATAGCAGAATGGACTTGGGGGTGTGACTCAAGCAGTAGAACACCTACTTTGTAAGCATGAAGTCCTGGGTTCAAACCCTAGTTTCACCAAAAAAAGAAAACCATTTAAAATGTATTTGTAACTTTTGAATAAGTTAAACTCAACATAGTAAGTCAAATTGAGTCTCTGATTCAGAATCTTATGTCTCATTTATATATATACATATTTTTTTAATAGTGCTAGGATTTGAACTCAGGGCTTTCTGCTTGCTAGGCAGGCACTCTACCACGTGGGCCACACCCCCAGCCCTTTTTGCATAAGTTATTTTTCAGATAGGTTCTCATTTGCCCAGACTGGCCTAGAACCATGATCTTCCTATGTCTGCTCCTGCACAGCTGGGATTACACCATGCCTGGGGTGTTCTTTGTAATAGGGTCTTTCTAATTTTTTTTGCCAAAGGCATATTCAAATCACAGCCCTCCTATCTCTGCTCCTTCCATCTCTGCCTCCCATGTAGCTGAGATTATAGACATAAGCCACAGCACCTGGCTATGTTTTAAAATGTTTAACAGCTTTAATAGATATAGTACTTCATTTCTAAAATGAAAAAGTCCAATTCATTAATTACTGTAAAGTCTTTTAAATTGAACCAAGAACAAGGTGATCTAACAGGAAAACCATGGTATTAAACCATCATGCCCTGCTTTGACCACTCATGGAGAAAATTAGCTAATCAATATCTAGACTTATTGCACCCCAGACCTGAAATTCTTCTGGAATATTTTTTAGTGAGTCAGTGATTAGCTGCCTGGGACAGGCAGGGAAATGTGGGCATTTCTTTTATTGTTAGCACTTCTGCTGTTAGTGTGAAAAGAGAAGGAGCTGTTTTATATCTTCTGTTCCTCTCGTAATCTACAGGGATATCTTTGTCTGCCTTATATGGCACTGCAGCAGCACCATCTCCTTTCTGATGTCACCGTTAGGGGGTTTGTTGCTGGAGCTACGAACATCCTTTTTCGACAACAGAAACACCTCAGTGATGCCATTGTGGAAGTACGTTTATATCTAAGTGTGTGCTTGGCCCTGCTGTCCCTCTGTTTCTTTTTACGTGTAATTATGAAGGTATAGTAAGGCAGTCTAAGCACTTTATATGTAGTCACTGATCTAATTCTTGTAACAGCCCTATAAGATAGGCACGGATACTATCTACATTTTATGCACATGGAAGTTAAGGAACAAAGAGATTAAGTGACTTGTACAATATCAAACAACCTGTAAATGGATGAGCTAGGATTCCAAACTGAGCAATGCGAACCTACCACGATCTCACAACTTACTGAAGTGTATCTATTGTTCAATAATTTAAATCCTTCTAGCTGCTTTAATATGCTTCTGATACTAAGAAGGAAGCTAAGAGTAGGTATTTGACATCACTATACAAGAAATTTAAATAATTTTTTAATTTTGCAAATGAAATTTTACATTTTCTTAAAAATTTTTTTTACAGTACTGGGATTTGAACTCAGGGCCTACACCTTGAGCCACTCCACCAGCCCTTTTTTGCGAAGGGTTTTTTCACATAGGGTCTTGTGGAACTAATTACCTGGTCTGGCTTTGAAACACGATTCTCCTGATCACTGCTTTCTTAGTAGCTAGGATTACCGGCATGAACCACCAGCATCTGGCAAAACTTTACAATTTTTTAAAAGAAGCCTTTAAAAAGAATTTTAGCCACACTAAGGTTTTTGTAGTCTCTGATAAAAAGTATGTACATCATGGGAAATTGTTATATAATAAATGAGAACTCTTAAGATTCAAAATTATTTTTATTATGATCCTGAAGGAAGGATAAGTGTGCATATCATGCCAAGACAATACAGATAGGAAAGCCACAGAGTTGCTTTAGCATTGCTGATTACATTCTAGTTTGAAAGGTGGCTGATGTGTTCATACTTTTAAACTAACGTGTAGGAATTGGGGGGTGCAGCTCAGTGATAGAGCACTTTGTCTAGCATGCACGAGGCCCTGGGTTCTATCCCCAGCACTGTACAAAAAAAAGAGAGAGAAACTTATAAGTTACATATATTTATTTGTATATAAATATTACATAATAAAAATATTCTAGAGTATCCATGCACTCAAAAGGAAAAATTGTAGAAATTATACTGAAACTTGTTCATTTCTGATGGTGAGCTAAAGGTGATTTTTATTGTATATGTTTCTATATTTTCTATAATATTTGCAACCAACTAGAAACATTTTGTAATTCAAAACCCATATTTGTGCATGTATTTTCTAAAAACAAAATGGGTATTTTTTAAATAGAAAAAGTAGAAACTTCAGTGTAAAATTGGTCTCTTTCTTAGACTCACCTTTGGTGAATGCTGTTATTCATATTTTTTATTTCCAGCTCCAACTTCACAGTAGTTACTATTTAAAGTGTGGCATGGATATCTGCGTGAATGCCCAGACTCTGACTTGTACCTGGGTGCCCTCTAGGTAGAAGAAGCTCTGATCCAGATCCATGATCCAGAACTCAGGAAGCTGCTTAACCCAACCACTGCAGACCTAAGGTTCGCAGATTACCTAGTGAGGCACGTGACTGAGAACCGGGATGATGTCTTCCTAGATGGCACAGGCTGGGAGGGAGGTGACGAGTGGATCCGGGCCCAGTTTGCAGTCTACATCCATGCCCTGCTGGCTGCCACACTGCAGTTAGGTAAGAAACCACAGTGCTACCTTTCGTGTAATTGTTGATGTTCTAACACTTGTAATGTTAGAACAAGAAATAACATTTATTGTAGAAAGTTACCTGTTACTTCTTTGTACACAGAGAATTACTCGAGTACTTTATATCCTTCCAGACCTTTTTCTTTACATGTATTTTGGACTTTTTGTGGGGCTAGGTTGAACCCTGGGCCTTGCACATGTTAGGCAATTGCTTTTTCACTAAGCTAATTCCTAGCTCACACATTTTGGGCTTTGGTTTTATGGGGTTTTGAGTAGTACTTTTACAAAAATGGATCCCTTTAAGTATGTTTCCTGAAACTCACTGTTTATTACTCTAAAATAGAAACATAAGCATACATCAAGACAGTAAGTACTGAACTTTATCATCCTTGGCTAAATATTTCATTGTGTGGAAGGATATATCAGTATTTGGTAGCTTTAACTGCTGGCATGTTTTGAAGATATCTGCAGAAAAGAGAGAAACATAAAAAATAGGACTCATTGAAAATCACATTCTGAGTGATTAAATTTTCAAAATTTTTACTTCATTCTAAGAAATACTATTCCGATTAAATGGCTCAAAAGGTGCAGGTAAACATAGATACACTGCTGGGTCAAAACTGTCCCATTCCCTGTAGAGGAGAATATATAAAAAGTAGAAATGGAGATTTAGCAAATACTCAGTAGACTTGTTGTTGTTACAGGTGTTGGACTTGTCGGGGGTTTTTGTGCCCTTATTACCTCTACTTTTTAAAATTGTGATGAAATACACATAACATGAAATTGATCATGTTAACCTCTGTAAATGGGCAGTTCCATGGTCCCACTGTTATGTCCAGAGGTTTTAAGCCCATACTACCACCACTGTCTTCCAGGTTAAGTCTTCCCAGGTGTATGTGGCACTTTAAATCTTCAGCATGTTCTTCATTTGTAAAGAAAAGCCAGCAAGTCATTTGTTAGTCAGATGTTTTTAAGTGTCTGCTGCTTCTCCAAGTATAGCAGCTGAGACATCAAATTTAAATCTTTTAACCCAAATTCATTCAGTAATCTAAACAGGAAGCCCAAATTTTCACCAGTCATTTGACTTCATGAGTAACTTAATTTACCTTTTTGAAGTATTTACCCAGGAGGCTATAAACACTATATAATAGTAGTAGCTAACTTTTCCCCCATTTAATAACACACAGGGATCTGTTCCAAACACTTTAAATCTTGCAATTCATCTTTACAGCAATCCTGGAGGTGATGCCGGGACACCTCCATGTTGCAGAAGGCAGATGAGGCACAGAAAGGTTAAATAGCTCACTCGTAAATCTCTCAGGAGGCTGAGCTGGGATTTAAACCCACTCTCACTTAAACCCATGTTCTTGCTAAAGTCAGGAGAGGAAATTGAGCTCAATGTGTTCAACCTGTTTGAGGAATCCATTCTTAGAAGTGCATCTCATGCTACAGGTGGAACTGTGTCTCTCTTCTTTCCTAGCAACAAAAGGTTCTTGTATTTCACATGTAAAGCAAACAATGCAGCTAGACAGTTGCACATACCTGTAAACCCCACCTTCTCAGGAAACTGAGGTCTGAGGATCATGAGTTTGAGGCCAGCCTGGATATATAACAAGATCCGGTCTCAAAAATAAAACAAAGGACTGGGTGTGACCCAAGAGCTAGTATGCTTGCTTACCAAGCACAGGGCCCTGAGTTGAACCCCCAAAATCACTCCCCAAAAAAGTAAACAACATGCATATAACATATGAAGCAATAGTCACTTGAATCATTTTGCCAGACCCTTTCTGTTGTTTCCAGTAGAAGAAATGCTGTGCAATGAAGCTTTCTCATTAAAATGATAAAGCTGTAAACTAGTAAGCATTAAATATGAAACTCCCCATCGTGAAGTATTTTTGACAGTGAAATAATTGCTAAAATAGCTAATTTATTCTTTTTTAATCTTTTTATTTTTGTAGAAAACTGACATTTGTGCAAAGTTAGAAAAATATCCTCACTGCCTTTTCATATGCTTAGAGCAGTATGTTTATTCACTGTCAAGTCTTGTTTTTGTTTAATAAATAATGCTATCCTCATAATGGTAAGGACAACATGGAAACATTTTGGAGTTGTAAGAAACCTTGGAAAATATCTGGCTCAACCCTCTTATTTTCCAGTTAGGAAAACGAAGTTCTCAGTGATTAAGTGACTTGCCAAAGGCCACATAGCTTCTTAACAGGATTTCTGGAACTAGACCCAAGTTTCCTGACATCTGGTAGGCTATCTCTCAAAAAATGTGGGCGGGCAGGAGGATAAAACCATTCCTTTACCCTTTGTGGTTGTAAATCTTCAATCCTGAGTGGGTACAGTCCAGCATAACTTCTTTAAAATATTTACTTGACAGATAATGAAAAGATGTTATCAGATTATGGGACAACTTTTGTTACAGCGTGGAAGAATACTCACAACTACAGGGTATGGAACAGCAATAAGCATCCAGCACTTGGAGAAATCAATCCAAAGTAAGCACCTCCTCTGAAGACTGACAGATAGCATGCAAAGTCATTGCTCTACTAAGAGTGCCCAATATAAGGAGTTATATCTTAACTTTGATGTGAATATACTTAAGAACAACCTTTGGTGGGTTGTCAAAAGGCTTCCATATATGACAAAACAGTTTAAAAATTGCTTTCATATTCTAAGTCCTTAAACAGAAAGCACAAGGCTTTCTTTTTGTCGTTTCTTGTTGCTCTTGTGTTGTTTTTTTGCAGTTCTACATATTGAACACAGGGCCTTGCACATGCTAGGCAAGTGCTCTACCACTGAGTTACACCCCCATCCTACAGATCATTATTAGGAACACTTAGTTAGTGCAGTTCAGAGAAGAAGTGTCTGGCACATGGTAATGCTTAGCATGTGAAGGTTCTTCTCTCCCTTTCCTTGGAGCTGTACATGAACAGAATGGTCAAATAAGATGGAATCCAGACTAGGGTTGTAGCTCAGTAGTAGAGTACTTGCCTAGCATACACAAGGCCCTGGGTTCAATCCCTAACACTTTAAATAAACCCTAACAAGATAGAGCCTAGAAGAAAATATATCAGATTCTTAAATTTAATACCTGCCATAATGCTGAATGTTGACCTGACAAAGGCTTTATCCCACCTAGACATAAAAAAAAAAATGCTGTGAATTGGTGCGATTAAATGACATCTGTGTGTGAATACAACAGATTAAAGGGAGACAATTAATATAATACGTACAGGAACTTTATAAATTAAACAATTAAAGTGATAGGTTTTAATGGTATATGCATACACTGGTGTTATCATTGTAATTTAAACTCCTAAATAGTGAGAAATGGACAGAAGTCAACTTTGTACTGTCTACCATGTTATTTTGAGACTATGGTCTATAGCTAAAGTGGGGGTGTAATTGGTGCTAGAATGGATACCCCCACATAGGGTTGGTCAGGGGGAGACATTTAAGCCATAGTAACTTGGGAAGCAACTGTATGGGTGAGGTAATGTGGAAGCATTTTGAAGACCATCTATTAAGCTTTGTATCTTCTCTAGGAAAATCACTAGTTTCAACACACTAATTTTGGTGAATTTAGTCAGACTTGGCTATAGCAGAAACCTAATATTGCTGTTTGAATACAGTAAAACCAGAATTATAAGACAAATACCACATTAGTAATATTAACTAAAAGACCTAAGACTTCAAAGTAATCTCCCTCACTAACTATAAGGCTTGTTCTGAAGCAGGCTGAGTGGAGACAGATGTGATTTGGATTGCTTGGTGGCCATGTTCAGAAGGCAGGGCCCCCTGTCACTTGTCCAGCAGTCACTGCATCTGGTGTCTTGAACCAGCTCTACAGATTTTAATAGGTTCTTAAAAGGCTTAGCCGAAACGAGGTTTAAGAAATTTTAAAATAGTGCTTAGAAAAAAATGTATAAAGATGGGCTGGGGGTATAGCTGAAGGGTAGATGGCTTGCCTAGCTCATGCAAAGCCCGGAGTTTGATCCCCAGCACAACAAAAAGAAAAATGTATAACGATATTGAGGTTAGGGGGGCTAAAGAGAAAGCTGAAGATGGGGCACGTTAACTGAAACATATGTGTAGGGTATGCAGCATGACAGCAGATTTTCAGCATTTTTACCAGATTAAAAACAAGAAATGATAGCCTTCAGTTGTTACCAGAGGTATAATTTAGGAATATCCCAAATTAATTATACTATTTAAGATCTATGAAATCCTTCAATTCCTAAAGATGAAGAAGGGTAGCCCTCTCTCTCACCAAGCAGCAGGCACATTGCATCTATAAATACAGTCTTCCTAGGAACAGAGAAAGTGATGATGTAATTTGTCAGATTTTCAGTCCTGTGATTCAAGAATCCCCCAAAAAGATGTGTTCCCTACTCTTACTTTGGCCAGAGCAGTTTGTAGTCATTTGAAAAACTCTTTAAGAAGCATTTTATAAGTAGCTATAGATTTTACTAGGGCTACTGTCTTTGTTAGAATTTGATAGAGGGATCCCTGAGTATGAGATAAGAATTTGAATGTATTGACCTTCTCTTTACAATCTGTAATCAAGTTGTGTATTTGGAGTTTTTTTCAGTATATGTTTTTCCTTTTGTATAGCAGAAATTAGGAAATAAGAATAATGTACTTTCTTATAAAAATATAGTGTTATTTTTAGACCTGCATTTTGAGTTATTTTCCTAACTGGATTTTTCTAATCATTGGCAAATCTTCTCATGACCAGCAGCACACATAAGATGGGCAAGATCAAGCTTCAACCACGACCATGGCCTAAATCAGTGACTGTCCTGTGGAATTTTAAAAAAATAGTGTTGGGCTGGTGGAGCGGCTCAAGTGGTAGAGCGCCTGCCTAGCAGGTGTGAGGTGGTGTTCAAGCCCCAGTACCGCCAAAAAAAATTATTTTAAGAAAAAGTTTAAAACATGGTGATGCTTGGGCCCCACTCCATACCAAAGAAGTCAGAATGTCAGGGTAGTACTAACCACCTCCGTCCCCCAAGATGAATGTGTGTGCATATACATACTCTCTCACATTTTAAAAGGTAGGAAAAAGAAAGCTCAGAGGAGTTAGATAGTTTCTTTTGGATCTCATTAGCCATGAGTGACAAGCTGTTATCTAAAACTAGCTTCCTGACACCAATTTTAGAGTATTACCTCTTATCTTTGTGAGTCAAGAGTTCCTTGTGGTAACTCTTTGCAGCTTTATTGATGAAGTATTTATAGTCTAACTAAAATTTTGTTTTACAGCCATCCATTTCAAGGCCAGTATTCAGTGTCAGACATGAAGTTAAGATTCTCACAGTGAGTACTTAGAGAAAATATGGGGAAAACTCTTGGAATTTATATCATATGTCTGGGGATTTTGTTTCTTCACTTGATAGACTTTTGCTTCAAATAGTAACAAAATATGTGCCTAACACTCTCTGGTTGGGCAGTGTGCACATTTCAAAGTGCACATTAGTGTTCTGTGAAGAATGGTGTAAATGAATAACAGATTTGCCATTCTTCTTTTGGTGAAGAGCCTTTGCCAAACCATGGCTGTCAGGGAGATTTAACTGCCCATCCTTATTTCTTCAGCACTTTTTGGTTCATCTCTGTTTTTTGAGCATCTTCTGAAATTTTAGATGCCTAGAAGATTAATAATTTACTCATAACAAGTAATTATTTTTTCTCAATACTAATATGTGTGGTGTGTGTGCATGTGTGAGACTTAAAAAAAAATTTGTACTTAACACTTCTTTCCTTTATCTAGTTCTGTTCAGAACAGCGAACGTGGCAAAAAAATTGGAAATGTCATGGTCACAACCAGTCGGAATGTTGTACAAACAGGAAAAGCTGTTGGTAAGGCACGCCTTTTGACAGGAGCACATTGGAGTTACGCACATCTGTTTTCTAACCACAGTATATAATTGGTAAAAAACAAAGTTGTAGAGATCTGTTTATCACACAGTAATAAAAGATGGTTTTTAAAAATATTCTGTCTTACTTAAAAAGTTCTTGTGGCAGAAGATAACATCAAATACGAGTTCAACAAATTTCACATTCCCGATACATAGCAATAAAGTTTTCTGATGCATCACTGTTCTATTACCAGGGTTGAATCTTCACTTAGTGTTTCTCTATTTCTTGTGCTGTCCACATAGTTCCTTATAAATAATAGAGGCTCATAATCAGAAGGAATTAGTGGTTGCTATTTTCTCTAAAGTACTTTCACACATAAAGAATGAATGGCTGGACATGATAAATGCCTATAATCCCAGCACTTGGGAAGTAGAGTACATACCTAGACTCTGTCAGAAAAGAAAAGAAAAGAAAAGAAGAGAAAAAAGGAAAGGAATGAAACCACTTGATTTTTTAAAAAGAGATCAACAATATTTATAAAACATTTACAGACTAACAGAGAACATAGAGAAAAGATATAAATTACCAATATTAGAAATGAAAGAGGAGACATCACTACAAATCTTACAGAAACTGAAAGGATAAGTGAATATTGTGAATAATTTTATGCCAACCATTTTGACAACACAGATGAAATATATAAATTCTTTGAAAGACTCAAATTACCAAAACTGATTCAATAAGAAATAAGATATCTGCAAGGCATGGTGGCTCATACTACCATGGTAGCTATAATCCTAGCTACTTGGGAGGTAGAGATTGGGAGGATTGTGGCTTGAGGCCAGCCCAGGTATAAACACAAGACCTTGTCTTGAAAATAATCGAAGCATAAAGGGATGGATGGGTTGTAGCTCAGGTGCTAAAGTATCTACCTAGAAGGCATAAGGACCTGAGTTTAAACCCCAGTGCTGTCAAAAAAGAAAGAAATCTAAAAGCCAGGCACAGTGGCCCACACCTGTAATTCTAGCTACTTGGGAGGCAGAGATCAGGAGGATCATGGTTTGAAGCCAGCCTGGGCAAAAAAGTAAAAGCAAGACCCCATGTCAGCCAACTAGCTAGATATGGTGGCGCACACTTGTGATCCCATATAGACAGGAGGGTATAGAGAGGGAGTTGTGACCTGAGGTTGACCTTATGCAAAAACACTAGACTCTTTCTGGAAAATAAAAATAAAAAAAATAAATAAATAAAAATAGCAAAACGGTTAGCTGGAGAGCTCAAGTAGTAGAGAGTGCCTCGTAACTACAAGTCCTTGAGTTCAAACCCCAGTACCACCACTCAGAGAAGAGTGGTTAATAGATAAATAGCTATTTAAATTATCAACTCAGTAGTTAAGGTAAAAAGTATATTTAACTTTTTAAGCTCCAAATAATTCTTGTGCACAGAATATTAAACAGTGCTTAGTGTGAGCTTCTACAATAAGAAATGATCCAGTTTCCATGGAAAGAGATTATTTTGAAACTAGAAATTTAAATGGTACTTTACTATTCCATATTACTGTGTTCCAGTGAGTATTTATTAATCTTCATAGTTATTTATAAATTACAAAATTATAAAAATAGTTATTAAAGAGTCTAGTGTTTTTGCACAGGATCAACCTCAGATCACAACTCCTTCTGTAGACCCTCCTGCCAATATGGCATCACAGGTGTGCACCACCAAAACTAGCTAGTTGGTTGATAAAGGGGGTCTTGCTTTTTTCCCCCCCAGGCTGGCCTCGAACCATGATCCTCCTGATCTCTGCCTCTCAAGTAGTTAAAATTACAGGCGTGAGCCCCTGTGCCTGGCTTCTAGATTTCTCTTCTCTTTTTTAGTGGTACTGGGGTTTAAACTCAGGTCCTTATGGCTTGCTTTAACAAAACTTAAAACTCACTGCCTCTAGCAAAACTTAAGATGTGGGCTGGGGATGGGGCTCAGTGGTAGAGCACTTGCCTAGCATTTATAAAGCCCTGGGTTCCAACCTTAGCACTACAAAAAGTAAAAAATTTATTTTTCCTTTCCCACCAGGCCAATCAGTGGGAGGAGCTTTTTCCAGTGCCAAGACAGCTATGTCTTCATGGCTGTCTACTTTCACCACTTCTGTCCCACAGAGTCTTCCTGAGCCACCTAATGGGAAGCCCTGAGTCCGGCAGGGGAGGCTGCATTGCTTTCTTGGGTGTGAGCACTCCTTGTCCATCTGCTGCTCCCAGACTCTTCTTTATCAGCATGGCCCACAGCAGGGGACCAGGGACATTGAACTGTTCACATGGATGGTTGCACTGTTCAGATGAATGCCACAGGATGTTGAAAAGATGAAATCACAACCATAGCAGTGATGGCTTCCCAGGTCGAGGTTTAAATTGACTACTTTTATTTCATTCTGAGCCTGATTAAAAAAAATGAACCTTGTAATGAATTTAAGTTTTGAGAATGTACATTTGTTTACTTTAGAAAAGTTTTTTCAAGTGTATATTTTGTTCTGTTTTGATGTTTGAATATCTAGATGACCACTGTAATTTATACTTACTAAAATTAAGTTATATTACTGTTTTAATTTCTCTGAAGTTGGCCTTAAAATGTGCACATAAAGTTTCGGGGCTGTACAATCCACGCTTACTCTTTTCCTGAGTTTTAGGATTACTTTTTTTTTTTTGTTTTGTCTTCTACCCACAAAATACACTTACCAATTCACTTCTTCAGAGAACCATGAAAGTCATAGGGGTAGGATCTGAGGATAGGGTATCTTGTTTTGTGTTTTTAACTTGATCTTTGCTGACAAACTTGCTTTGAGGCACGAAGGAAAGGCACTCTGCTTTCCTTTTCTGACTGCCAGTGAGCGTGCCAGGAGAGCATGGTGGGCATGGTGGTGTTGAAGCAGTGTGACGTGATGTCTCTAGGCAACACTTTCAAATACCCACGTGTAACTTCATCAGCTCAGTCATGTTGCAGTCCTTACTAGCACCTTTTTTTTGTTGTTGTTAAACCCAAAGTTTGTGCCTTCTGTTTCTTCTTTTGAACAGTTTTCTATTGGGTGTTGAGAGACCTAAGGGTTTTCTCTTAGTCTTATTCTTCATCAAGATTTTCAGGGAACTGGCCTTTCTTATTTCCCTGATGGAAAAATCCTCCTGTAGTCAATTTCTGCCTCTTTCTAATCATATTTAAAAAAGTAAAATGACCCAAGAATATTAAACAACTCAACTAGATTCACATTTTGAAAAGGAAGAGGCAAGAGAAGAAAACTACAGCCATCCTGCCAGCTACCTGTTTGGTAAAGGGTGTCTAGTTTCATGGTACTATGTGCATGTGTTTCCCTACTTCTGATTTGTGCCCAGCAGGAGTTCATGTGTTGGCAATGTTCAGCTCCTGTTTGCTGTTCAAGGACACTTGAATGGGTGCTGTCAGGGAGTACCTATGGGAAGCAGTTGCCTTTTCAGAAACAATACACACATCTTCTACATATGGTGTATAAGGATATTTGGGAAATAAGGGGCCTAATTAAGGGCACAGTGACTGTCTTTGATTTGTCCTTATGTTTATGAGTAAAATCATCCTAATGCATGCGAAAAGAACATAGGGGCATCATCTAAACACCCCTGAAATTTTCCAGTTTGTGTTTTCATGCAAGTCCGCCAGATCTAGAAGCATACTTCCGTTTTAGCCTAGTGACTTGAGAGTTCAGTGATGATAAATTGCACGGTCAAATGTGAGAACTTGCTCACATGAATTCGCTTCAGGCCACGGAAGTTAACCTTAGGAAATACTGTTTGAGAGAAGAAAGTAATACCAACAAAACTACAAAAGGTGCCCTAATCAGTGCTGTGCTCAGACTATAAAGAATTCCTTCTAAAGTCAGGCATGGTAGTGCATGCCCAAATCCCAACACTTGCGACTTAAAACATGTATATGTTTTATATATAGATAATATATATACACATGTTCAAATGGGGGACGCAATACTAAAGCGAAGTTAAATTTCATGTAACTAGGTTTTTTAATGGATTCCAAGTATGGGTTGGGTTGTTTTTGAATAGTGAGAGATGAGTTTACCCCAGTCATAATATAAACCTGATACAGGCTAAAGGATGACCTAAGGTTCTGCTGGCTGGCTCCATGGGACCTCTCGCTCCTGGCTGCGTGAATTTCTGACAGTTGACAAGTTCTTCACATATGCACTCTGTCACATACCAAGTAATGATGCGGCCACATGGCACGATATGTTGAAATGAATTCTGCTTCTTTCCCCCCTTTTTTTTTTCTTTAGATAATTCTAAGACAGGATCTTGCTGTGTAACTCAGCGGCCTTAAACTCTTGATTGTCCTGCCTCAGCCTCCCAAGTAACTCAGATTATAGGCATGCCCAGCTTGAATGTGTATTTTGTTTCTATTAGTGTTACTAGTTAAGAGTTTTAACTCTTCAAGTACTCTTCACTGGCTAAATAAAATAAATATCTCAGAAAATAGAACTTCTGTCATAAAAATGGTCAAACGACCATACCTCTGCTTTCTTCAGGTTCTGGGAGGTGTTGGGCTTTTGAAGAAGCATAGGCCATGATTATGTTGTGACAGGGGCCCTGAGGCAACCAGCACAGTTGAGGTCAGGGAGCCTGGTGCTGACCCTGGGAACCCACATGCTTCAGGCTTGCGTTCTGGGCTCCTGCTAAGTGACCAACTTAGAAGCAGAGCACCCTTCTAAACACTGGTTCTGTGGGCCATTCGAGCCAACATTGTACCATCTTTTAACATCACCAGGAAAGGGGTTGGTGGCCATATTTATTACACAATGATTGCCAAGGTTTTGTGTCGTAAGGAACTGAGAATTTGTAGCTAGGGCTCAGAGAGCTAGAGTAAGGTAGCCCTTTCCTGGTTTTTAGGCATATGAACTCTATAGCTTGGTGGTGGCTTCACTGCTGTCCTACTGACTTAAAGTAGCAATTGGATAAAACCCCTGGTATGTTCCTGTGCAATAATGACAATGGTGCAGATTAGAACGAGAGTTAAAGCTAGGGGGCTGTGGGTAGGTGAATAGGGAAAGTTGCATGTCACAGAGGGGACTGAATGTATCTGGCTCACATACAGTCCGAACAGTCCTGTCTTCACATCCATTAATGATTCACTAGCCCCCAGTCCTAAGACAGTTCTCATCTCCTACTTTAAGAAACAGTAGAACTGTTCCTTGGCAGCAAACTTCTGCCAGAGTACTGTGAATTCCTTGCCTTCCAAGTTCTGTACTGAGCATTTCATGTCTTTTAGAAAAACTTCCTTTGGAAAGCCGTGGAGAAAGCAAATTAGGAAGAGAGAGAAGGAAGAAGTTATTGCGTGGGTAAGGAACAAGGTACTGACAGTCTGGGTTAAAGTATTTTGATAGAAGTATTTAATCTGCTCACAGGGTTATAAGGATTCTTTTAGAAGTTAAGATTTTAATCTGCTAGCTACATGTCTAAGTGAAGCTATGCCATTATCTCTTTGGGAGGCAGCTTTTGTTAATGTTCTGTATTCCATGGAGAAAAGTTTTGTAGAAGTTACAGCCAGTGGTCCCTTTCTGTCCAGTGCTGGTAATGAGCAGGGCTGTAAGAGGCCAGCATCCTGATCTTTAGCTACAGAATCTGCTGCTGCCTCTGTACAGAGCAGCCTGTGAGGACAATAATGCTAATGTGGCCCATTATTGTATTGGGGACTTGGAATCAACGTTTGTGTGCTCTGATTCTTTGGTGAGAGGTGGCACAGCATTAGTGGCTTTCCACCCATTCCCTTGGATGCCTTTAAACTTGACGGAGAATGCTGTCTAAGTCACTTGGAGATGGTTACATTCCTCATAGCATACTGTGCTGCTAGGGCTCTCATTCCAAGTCTTCTGACTTCATTGCATTGGAATTGCTTTTCCATAATTTCCAACATTCCATAAATATTTGTAAAAGACAAAGGAATGTGCTTCTTTATTCTTTTCATATAAGTTCCTTTGTACATATGACTTCCTTCCTTGCCTACATTATGAAGGAGAGAAGAAACAGCTCCCTTGCGTGGTTACTCCAGAGTTAAAAAGATTTGTGCATGTCTGAAGGGTTGGGTATATTTTGTAAAATTCTAAATACATTTGTATTTCTGTGCAGTTCAGAAGTTTACCTTTTTACTTATACTAATTAAAGATACAGAAACTATATATTTAAATCATGTAAATGGAACACGATTTAGGGGGGTTTTCCATTATTTTTCACCAGCTTCTCACACATGTAATATGCTGCTCAAAAAATTTTTTTGTGTGCAATATAAACATTTGAACATTTCAGTCAGGTACTGAGCCAGAAAGGGTCATTGAAATTTTCAGAAAGCTTCTGTGCTTAGAAAATATTTTGTTGATTTCTTTAAATATTAAGATTTTATAGCTGGAGAAATGAGATCAAGACTTATGTGTTTCAGGCCACTTGGTCATTGGTTCCTAAGTCTAGGACACATTTGATTAATAAGTTGGTAAAGGCACTTAGTGGTTACAAAATAGTTTAAATATTTGAGATTAAAGACTTTCTACAAACTTTCTAAGAAAATTTAGCTTAGAAAACTTCCTAGATTTTCTAAGGAAGTTTAGCTGTGACACGTTTTGATCAGAAAGGTTTCTCTTCCCTCTAGTAGTTTTATAATTTATACTAGTTCATTGTTTCTGTTGTTTTATAAAATGTGTTGCAATTATAAATCACGTTTGATCATACTGAATTGTAAAACTTCTGTTGTATCTTTATTTTAAGAAAAAAATGATAATAAAATTATCCTGTTTGTCCTGCACACAATTGTTCTTGACAACTGTTGTAGAAGCACCTCCTGTGTTGCCCATGTCCTGCTTCACAATTGGACGTCAGTGCTGTTTCATTCGTTAAGACAGCAGCACACAGCTGGAGGGAAGGACACACTGCTCATTCAGTCTCCTGGCATTGCTTACAGTGGCCCCTCAGCTTTCAAAGTGTGACTGCAGGAAATGCTCCCAGTCAGCATTTCCTGCCCTTTCTTGATGACATGCTGGGGTGGGGGGGCCCTCACCATCCAGATAAGAGCTGCCTTCTCTTCATTCTGATGGGGGGGGGTTGCTATTCCTAAGTCTGATAACTTCTAGGAGCATGAACTGGGAGGAACAACCCTTCATGAAGGGCTTTCCAGCTGGAGGTGATCTGCGTGGGGTGGTGAAGCACACTTGCCGCAGAGCTGATCTGGCCAAATCCTTACCCAGCACACTTTGCATGATTCTTGTCAGTAGCCAGGGCAGCAGATCACAGGCTTGTGTTCTTTGATCTTCATCCCATCAACACCTGCCTTTGGAACCACTGACATCATAACGTGACACAAAAATTAGGATTCAAGAACAGGCGGTGTAGGCTGCCTCCTAACTTCGCCTCCCCTTCCCTCAGTCCTGTTCTTCCCTCCCTACCCCGCCCCTCCAGGAGAAACGTCACCAAATCGGCAGCCTGCCCTCGCCAACGGCCGGCCGCCAACGGACCCCGGGCTCCCCAGGCCGCTTGCTCCCCTTTCCTCCCGCGCCGTGCACTCACCACCGCGCAGGCTCGCGGGAGGGCTGTGCTGTGCCGCCATGCCCCAGCCACAGCTGTCACCGCCACCACCTGGCAGCCTCAGCCTGGCGGGGAACGACGGGAAGCAGCAGCAGACCTTCCCCTGCACAGCACAGCTGCCACAGGACTGTTCTGCTTCATTTGCATCCTTGAAGCGCATCTGTAAAGGAGCAAGGAAAAGATGGGCTCAATAGATAAAGTTGTTTCTGAGGGGTGACCTACACTTCAAAACACTTCTAGCACGAAACACTCATGCGGATGATGATGACCGATCTGCATTGCTCCTTCTTACCAGCAGTACAGAATGATCAAGTCCAAATGGTCCAGACAGACCATTTCGATGTCCAGCCTGTTAGGTTTCTCAGGACGGAATACTTAAACCAAGAGCAATAAGAGACCCTTGTTCAGTATGCTGTTGGGGAAACACGGTTTTGAAAGCAACTCCTCTGTTCAAATGCCTGTGACTTCACAGGCATTTCAACCCAGAATTGTGAAAGCACTTTCCACGTGGGTTCTCTTGGTGGGCTGGCAGAAAAGGAGGAAGAAGTGCCAGGGTAGCCAAAGATCAGTGCTGTGCTAAGGCTATCAGAAATAACTCTCCAAAATTAGAGCTGTCTATTACTATTGAGTAATTTTTGATTTGGCTTAATTTTTTTCTTTTTTTTTTGGTTTTTGGTTTTTCAAAAGTGCCTGTGCTTAGTCTTGTAAATTTAAATTTATTTTTTTAAACAAGAAAGAGTTTGGGAAATAATTTCTCTGTTCACTTTTTAAGCCTTATAACTTTTATTTTTTTTATAACTGAGAGTTGCTTCTGTAAGTACACAACAATATCATGTTGAAACAGAATAGAAACTAAGAGACTTATGGAGAACCAGTTGACTACAAACAGATATCAGTTTTTCCTTCCTCTGTAAAAATAGGCTATTTTATATTAAGTAAAGAAGAAATCAGGTGGTTATTGATCTTCCAGAGAACAAATTACTACCCAGAATTTGACAAATGACCTTAATAGGTGTTAACTCCTATATACAGGATATTGGAAAGCCTGTTGTTTTAGAATTACTTATGGTAAACTTTCTTAAAAATTATTAAGGTAAATACTTCTGAAATTCAGCATACTTTCTAAAAAATTTTGTCATTTCTATTCTTTTTCATGGCAAAAAATTTAGTATTGGATGGTACCTTTTAACCACTCCAGAGGCAAAACACCATAATTGAAAAAGAGTCAGGCTGTGGATGAAATGACCAGAAATGCAGAATGAAGTATGTAAATCCCAGCTTCATAGGAACTCTTTTAATGCTGCTTTTCTTACTGAATTAACTGGGTCATTGCCCCAGTTAATTTCCCCTTGCATGCAGTGCTGTGCTATATATAAAGAGAAAATATTGGAGATATTCTATGCTTTCTATGTAGGTTTATGTATTGTTGGAGGGTGTTTTTGCTGTGCTGTTTTGGACAAAATAATTCTGAGTTGAGGCTACAAAAATTAGAATTGAAATATTTTAAATGTATGGTTTTTAGCCTTCATTGGACTGGACTGCAGTCCTAGAGTATATAATGTGGACTAGGACCATAGGAAAATGGCAGCTGGGTAAAATGTTAGTTATGGTTGAGGTTGAGTGTTGGGTACCTAGGGGTTCATTAGTCTATTCTGGGAATTTCCATACCAAGAGCTAAAAACTGCCAGGTGTAGTGCTTTGTACCCTTAGTCCCAGCTACTAGAACAGCTGAGACAGAAAGAGCCTTGAGCAAGGGGTTCAACATAGTGAGACTGTCTCAAGAAGAAAAACAGTCAAGACCAGGTGAGGTTGTGTAATACCAGTTACTTGGGGGTCAGAGATTAGGAGAATCATGACTAGAGGCCACCCTGAGCAAAGAGTTAGCAAGATCCCATCTCAACCAACAAGGTGGGTGTGGTGGTGCGTACCTGTCATCCCAGGTACACAGAAAAGGTAGGTAGGAGGATTGATGTCCAGAGGCCAGTCCCAGGCAAAAGCATAAGAACCCATCTGAAAAAATAAAGAAAAATGGGCTTGGAGTGTGGCTCAAGTGGTAGAACATCTGCCTGGCAAGGTATGGCCCTGAGTTCAAACCGTAGTACCAACAAAGAAAAGGCTAGGTACGGTGGTACACACCTGTAATCCCATCACTCTGGAGACTGAGGTAGGAGGATCCTGAGTTCAATGTCAGCCCAGCCTCTAAGTTACAAAGTGAGACTCTATCTCAAAAAACAAACGAAAAACCCAATTTGCTAGCCACTAAATAACATTTTTACTAGGGAAAAGGGACAGACACTACAGTGGACCCTGAGTGCCTGTCAGGAATCTGAATTTAGTTTTGCAGTTCTCCTACATGGAGGCCCCCATCTCAAGCCCCTCTTCCCTGAAACCTTGGCGATCACCATTGCATTATTGCTTTCCCTCCCTTCTAGTTGTTGAAGCATTGAGCAAATTCATAATACATGGTAGTCAGAGACCAGGCCCAACCTGTCTCCTTCCTTAAAGTCTCTCCTGGGCCACTGTGAATCCCAGATTGTCTTGAAGATGTTCAATCAGCAGAACTTTTATAAGGATGGGGGTGGGTAGCTTGGGAAGTAAGGCAACTTAAGTATGAAACAGATACAGAAAAATACAAAGCAAACACTTGTGCAACCACCACTCAGGTGAGGAGGGAGCGGATAATGCCAGCACTTCAAATACTTGACCCCCATGTGTTTGTCCAAATCACGCCTCCTTCCTCTCCCAAAAGTACCTTGGTGTTCGGAGTTTTGTGGTAAGGGACTCTTCATATGATTCCTCTTATATTTCTATCCCAAATACAAAATTTTGCTTGGTTTTGAACTTGTGTATATGGAGTCACACCATTCAGATTATGTCTTTTGCTGCTTAGTTTTGGTTTTTAGGAGAGATAATGTTCTCATCATTTTCTAATGTTTTGCAACTGTTCATCCAGGTGGTTGCAGGCAACTTGGAGCTGCTTCCAGGTTGGGGCTGGATGTGCACAGCAGGGTTGCTCTGCCTATTCTAGTGTGCATGTGCCACTGCGCCTGTGCACATGTGTCTAGGGTATAAATGTGGGAAGGGATCTGCAGGGTCTTGGGAAGATGCTTATCTTTAACTTTGTTTCATGACAACTTGCTTGTCAGACTGGTCTATGGTCTTGCTCTCGCATTGCTTTACATTGATATAGAGCAATGCTTTGGATTATCTGGGTTAAGTGTTTCCCAGTCTGGTGCATATTTTGTTGTAGGTTTTAATATGAATTTCTTAAGTGTTAAGAAAGTTGGGAGTTTTTTCATCCATTTTATACTTTTGCAAAATGCCTGGTGAAGTCTTCTACCCATTTTTCTACTGTTCTCTGTTTCTTTTTGTGTTTTTATGCATACATACACACATATGTTGTCTTCCTCCATCTTAGGTAGTTTATAATGAATAGAAGTTTATTTCTCATGGTTCTAGATGCCAAGAATCCATGATGAAGGGGCTGCCCAGGTTCAATGCTGTGAAAGCCTGGTCTCCTCTTTTCCTCCTCTTATGTTGGGAACATAACATAACAGTAACCCAAGTCCTGCATACTGCCTTTCAAACTCTGCCTCCTCACCAGTGTGGGGTGTGTGTATACCTACTGTGTGTCACATATCCTGGATGACAAACACATCACTCCTGGAC